GGCGCCTCAACAATAATTTCCTAGAGGGGGTTATTGACGGGTCCTACTCTGCATTGGCAAGCCTCCTGGAATTGTAAGCTGCTCCATCCACGTGTGCCAGGTTTCTGGGATAGTGCAGAGTCGTGTTTTGAGTCGACTCAAAACACGACTCATCTCACGCGGATTTAATGTGTTCTGAGTCGACTCGAAACACGACTCATCTCACGCGGATTTGATGTGTTTTGAGTCGACTCAAAACACGACTCATTTCACGCGGATTATATGTGTTCTGATGAGTCGACTCAAAACACCATCCAAGTGTGCCAGGTTTCTGAGATAGTGCAGAGCAGAGGGGCAGAGCAGAGCAACCCCCCCCCCTCCCTCCCCTCTTCCCCCCCTCCCGCTAATCTCCCATGTTTACTCGTGTCCATATGCATGCCACAGGTCACTAGCAAACAACCTGATAGGAGGGGACGTGTACGACACAATGCTCATCTTCACCACTGTCACTATGCTGTGCGTCTTGCCTTGAGACGTCTCAAAACTAGATTGCTTTGAGACATCCTAAAATTTGAGATTTGAGGCGTCCACAACCTGATAGGAGGTGACATCTACGACACAATGCTCATCTTCACCACTGTCACCATGCTGTGCGTCTTGCCTTCCTTTTGAGACGTCCTAAAATTTGAGATTTGAGAAGTCTACAACCACATAGGAGGTGTCGTGTACGACACAATGCTCAGCTTCACCACTGTCACTATGCTGCGCGCCTTCCTTTCACTCCACTCAAATACCACTCTCTCAGTGCATGTTGTGCTGTCCGTATGTTCTTGGCCCATGGTGTAAAGCGAGAAGAAGAGGGGGAGACAGTGGGACGACACGGGGGTTGGTAGAAATGGTGGTCTCAACTCATGCATGAAACTAGCTAGTGCGTGGGGCTTATCATTCCCATGCATGTAGCCCTGCCACACTCGCTCACTGCAGTCCAGTATGCTGCAATGCTGTTCTTTCAGATGTTTCGAGTGGAGACCCCTCGCATCTTTCTGCAACCTTCCTCGTCCCTACGTTGTCTCTCCTCTCTCTCTCTCACCGCCACCAGAGACCTCTCCAACAATGGTCTCACTGGAACGATTTTTGAGGCGCCTTAGAAAAGCTTTCTGCAACGTTCATTGACCCTCTTCTGTGTCGCCTGTTTCTCTCTCTCTCTCATCGCCCCCCACCAGAGACCTCTCCAACAACGGTCTCACTGGAACCCTTGCAGATGGAATCTCAATCCTCACCAAATTGCGAGAGCTGTAAGTTAACCGCATTACTCCTCAGTGTATCATTGTTCAGCTCATAATGCAGACCAGCACCAGAACCTGCAGCAGCACCAGCAGCAGCATCAGCACCAGCACCACCTGTACCAACATCCTTACACAAGCAACTCAGTGTGTTTTGAGCCTCGTCAAAGGCTCACTTGATGTTTAATGGAATCTTGTAGATTATGAAATTATTTCATGCACATCATACATCACAAAGAAGCTAAAATGTAACGTCTCTAGATTAACATCATTCGTTCTAGACTTTGTTCAGCTACTTTCCTTCCTCTTCTCAAGAATTCACAACAACAACCCTCTTGTTCTAGTCACAATGCGTGCAACTCCCAGCTGCAATCACCACACTCACCCCATCATTCTCTCTGGCTCAACTCATAATCCACCCAATAGGTTGCTATCTTATGCTGCACTCCTGTTTCTCCTTCCACCCTCTCCTCTCCTACCCTAACCTTTTCCCTCTCACGTCTGCTCTTGCGCATGTCCGTCTTACTTCAGGCGTGCAGCCAAGTGTGGGATACAGTTCTTGATTCCTTCACAGATCACTGATCTCACTAACCTCTCGCTTCTGTGAGAACTCACCACCTCGCTCGCCTCTCCCAAGCCTGCCTCTATTTCCTGAGAGGGTTGCTTATCATGTGTCCTTATGCCATCATTCAAATGCATGATGTGTCTGTAAATGCATCCCTCCCACCATGCACTGGTCATCCGCGTTTCTGGGCTGTTCTCCTCGTCTGCCCATCCCCCTGCATCTCATGGCAATGCATGGCACGACATGGTATGGCGTGGCGTGGCATGGCATGGCAATGCACGGCATGGCATGGGATGGCAGGGACCTTTACGACAATAATATAAACTCGGCGTTACCAATGGATATGGAGAAGATGGTCAACCTTCGACACCTGTTAGTGCTGCTGCCACTGCGTGTTCACTTCCTCTCTCCTCTCCCCGTCCACCCCCCTTCACATGTTTCCGTCACCATTTTCTCTTAATGCATATGTTCTTTCCTGCCCCTTTGCCCGTCCCCTTCCCCTTCCCCTGCACTGCGCTTCTCCATGCTCTGAGTATAGTGGCCACCGCTCATCCCCATGCTCATGCATGCATGCATGCATGCTCTTCCCCGTGGCTGGCTTGTTACATTCCTTTCTCTAACCTCCTTACTAGTTTCGCTTGTGGCTGTATGCTCACATGCAATCTGTTCATGTATGTGTATTCACTGCACTCTTTCTGCTCCAGCAATCTCTTTCTGCTCCACCATTCTCTTTCTGCTCCACCATTCTCTTTCTGCGCCCCCTCTTCTAACCACCAGCAACCTGGGTGCCAACCCCATCTCTCCCCCCTACTTTGATGTACTATCCGCTTTCACATCCCTCACCTACCTGTAAGTACCTTCAATTTTTGCTACAATCACCTCTCACCTTACCACTTCGTTGCACCGCACTGAACCACACTGGATTGCACGCCATCACGCCAGAGCACCTGTCGCACTGGCCTCTCCTCTCTGCATTCCACTGTCCATCCATCTTCTAGCCATCCATCTTCTAGCCATCCATCTTCTGGTCATCCATCTTCTAGCCATCCATCACATTTCTCCTGCCTCCCCACTGTCCGTTCTCTTTCCCAATAGTGGCCTGTCCAAGAACGGACTGGTCGACATGGCGCCCTTTTCAGAACTTACAAATCTTAAGGCATTGTAAGTCCCTGCATTGCTCTTTTGAGCTGCCTCAAAAGTCATCTCTCTACCCGCAATTTCTATATTGCTTGACAAAGGGTATTGTGTTAACCTCCGCGCACTGTAAGGCTGCGCCTTGCTCTGCCTGCCTGTAACACCCCGTGCTGCCCTTGCTGTGCTGTGATCCCCTCCTGCTCCTCCTGCTCCTCCTGCTCCTCCTGCTCCTCCTCCTCCTCCTGCTCCTCCTCCTCCTGCTCCTCCTGCTCCTCCTCCTCCTCCTCCTCCTCCTCCTCCTCCTCCTGCTGCTGCTGCTGCTGCTGCTGCTGCTGCTGCTGCTGCTGCTGCTGCTGCTGCTGCTGCTGCTGCTGCTGCTGCTGCTGCTGCTGCTGCTGCTGCTGCTGCTGCTGCTGCTGCTGCTGCTGCTGCGGTTTGTCCGACCAAAATTTCTTGCACTAGAGTTTTTGCAAATCTCAACCGAAAGAATTTGGAGAACCGAGACCAACCATATCAGTGGTTTAAGAGTACAATAAGAAACCCGTCAACAGATTAAATCCCAATCCAGCCTATGTTTGTCATAGTGTTTCATATTACAGTATCCCTCTTTCCCTCTGTCTCACCCTCTCTTCCTCTGCCTCTCCCTCAGTCTTTCGTGCCTCTCTCTCTGCCTCTCGCCCATCTTTCATTCTCATTTCAGTGATCTCAGTGATAATTCGTTTTCCCTCGACATTCCCGAATACCTGATCAACCTTCCACTTCTCGAATCACTGTAAGCTAACCATTACCATTTGCATGTCCATTATTTCATACACCATTTTTCTCTTCTTGCCTAGATTCCACAGTCTGTCAGCAATCTAACTGTACACACTCCCTGACTCACTATTTAGTGCATGACCATGTGAATGTGCGTGTGCCTCTGAATGTGAACATCCGTGCGCATCTTCAAATGCAGGGACCTAAGTGGTAACAGCTTCGTTGGATCCTTACCAACTCCCACCAATCCTAACACTGCAATGACCTACCTGTGAGGGCTTGGGGCTTAATTTGACCGTTCTTTTGCACTTCCTCGTCAACAATCCTGGCTCTTATAAATGTGCCCTCCCATACCATGTACTCTCCCCTTCCGCACCACCCTCCTTCGACCCCTCCCCTTTCCCTGTTCGTCCCAGCAACCTGGCAAGGAATTTTCTCTCGAGCTCGATTCCTCCAACTATTTCCAATGTCGGGGGTGCTGTCACCATGTGAGCAGGTCCTTTCTCAAAGGGAGTAGCTCGATGCACAACCCACCCACTGCAAACCCCCCTCTCCTTCTGTTCCTTCGTCCTTCCACTCCCACCTCCTGTTATTCCTTGCCCGCTTGCGCACCTGTTGTAGCAGGTGTCATTTCCCCACTTTTTCGTGTTCTCTGTCGCCTGGTCCCTCCCTCCATCCCTCCCTCCCTCCCTCCCTCCCTCCCTCCCTCCCTCCCTCCCTCCCTCCCTCCCTCCCTCCCTCCCTCCCTCCCTCCCTCCCTCCCTCCCTCCCTCCCTCCCTCCCTCCCTCCCTCCCTCCCTCCCTCCCTCCCTCCCTCCCTCCCTCCCTCCCTGCAGTGATTTGTCGGGCAACTCTCTCGAGGGATCCATTCCTGTTTCCATGCTTCAACTCACACAGTTGCAGAATATGTGAGGCTTGCCGTTCCCTGCACGCGCCATACCATGGCATGCCCATGCCATGCCATGCCCATGCCCATGCACATGCCATGCCCATACCATGGCATGCCCATGCCATGCCATGCTGTGCAATTCATGCAATGCCTTTGGATCGCATGCCAAATTGCCCCACAGGGCAAAAGCCTCTTTTCACGGGATTCACTCACTGGCACCATACCATCAACTTGACCCATGCATGCCTTGTGTGGCTTGACCATCACATCACATTCCACCACTTGCCATCAGCAGCACGCTCACCGTGTCCCCTCAACCATCACCACCATAAACACCATGCGCTGCTCCCACATGAACAAACCCCGATCTTTTTGAGGCGCCTCAGAAGTCACCATGGGCTGCTGCTGCCTCGTGAACGAACCCCAATCAATCAGAGTGCTCGGGTCCAACAAGTTATCGGGCGATCTTCCTTCCATTATCACCCAGCTCACAGACCTTAAGAAACTGTGAGTGCAAAAAATCGACCAAGCATGCTGCATGCACGAAGCAACACCCGCTTGTTTCCTGATTTGAATTACTTGTATTTTGTAATCTGGCCCTCTCCGGGCTTCCCAGCTTCCACATATCGAGCTTTAAAAAGGTCCCAATCAGAAGTAATTGGCTAGGTGATGAAGTAATAACGCTATGGGCCCCTTAAGTACGGCATGAATTGGTGGGAAAGGATGAGTAGAAGAGAAAATGCAATCTCCAATAAGATTGGCTGAATCTCTCTATTGGAGGGTAAAGACTTTCAGTTGATCACAATCTGGTGAAGTTGGAGATGGTAGTTAGCATCTATCCCACAACAATGATGATACATCAAATTGGGATATAAAAAGTACATTATGAAAAGTAAAACATGTGAGATTCTAGTTTTTTCGTAACATTTTCTTGCCCGTCTTTCATGATCCCCTCCCCCTTTCCACGTGCAGGGATCTGAGTTTCAACCAGATATCAGGGCCACTGCCCACCATCCTTAGCCTTGCCACTTCTCTCTCCCACCTGTTAGTCTCCCTTTCTAGTCGACCCACAGACTGAACCCCCCTCCCCCGCCCTCTCCCATCTCTACTCAAATGCCCTAGCCTGATTGCCTGTAGTTTTGAAGATGCATTGATTGTAGTTTCAGTTGATTGATTGTATTTTCCACAGCGAAAGCAGCGGGGTGGTGGTCCATTCTCAGCCATCAAACCTTCTCCCTTTCCTCTCTCCCTTCTCCAACTGTCCCCCCTCGCCCCTCTCTCCCTCATCCTCCCCCTCTGCCCCTTTTCCTCGTTCTGCCCTCTCCGTTTTCTTCCCTCTCTCTCTCCCCACCCCCCCTCTTCCCAATCCACAGCGACCTCAGCGGCAACATATTCACGGGATCGCTGCCTTTGGGCTACAGCCGCCTCTTCCAGCTCTCCACCCTGTCAGTTTGCAGTAGCATGGGTGTGTCACCCTGTCAGTACCACACACACAGTAGCGTGTGTGTGTGTGTGTGTCTCCCTCTCGCTACCACTCGGTAGCATGTGTTGCGCCCTGTCAGCATCTCTCCACCCTGTCTTTGTGTGGGGGGGTAGATAGCTTGTGCCTGTGCTTTATCCTACCCACGCCACTGCTTTGCATCTCGCTCCACCGCACCCTTTCCAGTCTACCCTTCCACGCTCGTCGCTCCCAACCACTGCCATCACACCTTGCCGCTCTCACCCCTCACCATCGCACCGCACCCCTCCCCTTTCAGGGGTCTGTCGTCCAACATTCTCTCGGGCTCCATCCCAGAGCCTCTTATCGCCGCCCTAACCAACACGCCCCACCTGTGAGTGTGTGGAGTGGACATTCTTTAAAGCCTCGCTAGAACCTCTCTTAAAATCCTCTTGGATTTCTCTTTGGATCCTCTTTGACCCTCCTGAGATTTTTTTTTTTTGTTTTTTTTTTAATCCGTCTGCTCCCTCTTTTTATTCCTCTCTGAATCCTCTCCATTCCCCCTTTGATTCCTCTGTGGATCCGGCTTGAATCCTCTCTGCATGCTTGAGGCCCATTTCTGCTACCATGCCATGCCATACTATCCCACACCACACCACACCACACCACACCACACCACACCACACCACACCATCACACCATATCTCTCCACTCCACTCCACTCCACTCCATACCCTGACTGCTGTGCCACAGGGACTTGAGTCACAACCAACTGTCTGGATCCATGCCCTCCTCCCTCTCCCTCCTCACCAAACTCACCAGCCTGTTAGTGACACCACTAACTACCCGTCCCTGCTTATCTTGTGACCTATTCGCGCTTTGATGATTGTCTTCCTCTTTTCCTCATGTGTTCATGCCCGCATGACCTCATGTGCGCATGACCTCATGTGCGCATGACCTCATGTGCGCATGACCTCATGTGCGCATGACCTCATGTGCTCATGACCTCATGTGCTCATGACCTCATGTGCTCATGACCTCATGTGCTCATGACCTCATGTGCGCATGACCTCATGTGCGCATGACCTCATGTCTTCTGATGAGTATACAGCTGCTGCACCCGCCCCTCTCCCCTACTATTACAACGAGCAAGGTCCCACACACAGATCCGAACAGCCAAACCCCCCGACTGTCCATCCTTCACCCTCCCATACACCAACTCTTCTTCTCCGTTTCGTCCTCTTCCCCTCCAATATCACTCTCTCCTCGCCCCCTCCCACACACCATCCCCTCTTCTCCATTTCTTCCACAGAGACCTGGGCTTCAACCGTCTGTCAGGCACGCTCGTTTCAACCATCAGCACTCTCACGGCCCTGAAGGCGCTGTATGCTCTTCCCTCACTGCACTCCCTTCGCTGCACTCCCTTCAATGCACTTCCTTCATTGAACTCCACGCACTGCATTCCCTTCGCTGCCTTGCATGCTATCAGTTGCACGCTGAGAACATTCGTCGCACCATGTCCCGTGCTGAACGATAGTGTGTCCGTCTTCATGCATCATGCCTCTTCTCACGTCCCCCCCTCCATATCACGACCCTGTTGCCCCTCGTTCTGTTGCCTCTTCCCTCTGTCTTGCCCCTCCATCTCTCCGTCCCTGCCTCTCTGTCTCCCTGTCTCCCTGTCTCCCTGTCTCCCTGTCTCCCTGTCTCCCTGCCCCCCTGTCTCCCTGTCCTTCTGTCTCTCTGCCTCTCCGCTTCTCTCGCCAGATCTCTGTCCAGCAATGCTTTCACGGGTTCTGTTCCAGCAAAAGTTATTGCACAGATTGGCAACCTGCAGAAGCTGTAAGGATCCCAATGCTTCCATCCTCCCGCCTCCATCCATCCCTCCTTTTTCTTTCCACACCAACCGACCAGCCGACCACATATGAACAAGCAAGCAAGCGACCTGTGGAAATCGTATGCATCGCAACACGCTGTGAAAGGTTGTAGACGAACGCACACTCGTGCATGTCGTGCCGTGCCATGCTGTTCTGTGATGTGAAGTGCACAAGGGCAAGATCATATTCCACCACTTTTGAAAATGCGCATATTTGATTTGATTCAGACCGTGCAGTGCACGATGAGGGTATTCTCATATGCCGCCATCTGAACAGGCACAAACTGGAAAATGCACAAGCACGGTTGCTTGTAATGGCACTTGCTTCCACATGTGCTTCCCCCACGTTGCTGCACTGCAGTTATCAGACACATGACATGTACGCATGCATGCATGCATGTATGTATGTTCCCCGCTCCCTTGCCTGCTCTGCTCGTGCACGGCAGGGACCTGAGCTACAACCAGCTAACGGGGGCCATGCCTGCAGAGCTCACAGCTTTAGATGCCATCACCAACCTGTACGTTGAAACCACTTTTGAGAATTCTCAAAACGTACCATGCCTGCAGAGACCACAGCTTTGGATGCCACCATCACCAACCTGTACGCCCACTCACTGCTGCTCCCATGCTTCCACGGCTTCTGCTGCCATATATCATGTCATGCCATGGCAGTCCAGACAAGTTTTTTCAATTCGTTCCCTTTCTATCACCCAACTCTCTACCCCATACAACCCATTCCAATCATCTCTGCCTTTACTCCCAGCGATTTGAGCCACAATGACCTGACCGGCCCTCTTCCAACCAGCATCGGCAGCATGACTACCCTCAAGACCATGTGAGTGCAGTGCACCACTACCCTCTCCCCCTGATAGTGAAGTGCACCACTGTACCACTGCCTGCCCTCTCCCGACCTCACTTCCTTCCGCTTCTGCGATGCCAATAAGCACACAGCAGAGGGCTCCTTTGCATGTAGCATGCATTTATGTTACTGGGACGTGTCCCTCTCAAGTGGTCCCCGCATGTAGCATGCACAACTCGAGACCTGTGTACAGAGCTCTACAGGCAGCAAGGCGACACTTAGCATCCCTACAGTGTCCTCTGCTACCACATATGCAAAGGAGAGGCCGTAAGGGGTTCAAGGATAGTGCACAGATCAGATCACCGCAGGGTGCGTGCGCGGCGACAAGGAGGAACTGCTTAAGGTGAGCCCACAGCAGGCGCAGGCTTCTCTTCTTCCAAGGTTTTCAAAGCTCTCAAGTCCGGCTGCCAAGTCCGGCTGCCAAGTCCGGCTGCCAAGTCTGGCGTTTTTCCCCGATTACCTTCCGAATTGGAAGTTAAGTCTAGCTTTCTGCAGGTTGCCAAGTCTGCTGGTGACCTTCCGAATTGCACTGACAGTTTTGGTGCAGCAGAATTTAGGTAGGCTTTAGGGATTGGCAGCCCCTACAAAACTATCCCGTAGGTGGAGGGGTGAGCCTTGATGAAACCCCTTGCGGCTGCATCGGGATGGAAGGTGCTCGTCATCCCCTTACCCTCTCTTTTGTCACAGGCAATCCTTTTTCATTTTCTCTCTTCTAACTGCCCCTTGATTTCACCTCAATCCCTTCCCCCTTCCCTTCCCCTTTTCGTACCCTCACCGCCCCCCTTCTCTCCCCTTTCCCCCCTGACCGCCACTTCATTTACGGCAGCAATCTGAGCGGCAATGATTTGACCGGCTCCATACCAGTCGAGTACTCCAATCTCGCCAACCTCGAAGCACTGTCAGTGCCCCTCCAATCCTCGCGCCTTCTCCACGCCCCATGTAACCTTCTCTACTTCTCCCCCTGCTACCCTTCTCCCCCTGCTACCCTTCTCCCCCAAGTTCACTGTCCCCCCTCCGTCTCCTCGCTTCGACATTCCTTTTCTCACCTTCTCGTTTTCTCTTGTTATCCCCATTCCCAAGTCCTGTGCTTCCTTTCTGTTCCACACTCATTTTCTTGTCCCATCCCCTTAATCACCCTCCATCTCACTTCTTTGCCCAGACACCCCTCCCCGCTCACCTGCTCCTCCCCCCCCACCCCACCAGATTCCCCCTTCCCCTTCCCACTCCCAACTCTCCTGTTTCCTCTCTACCTTTTTCTCACCATTTTTCCGTTTCAACTCTGTGTGCGTGCGTGTGTGCGTGTGCGTGCGTGCGTGTGTGTGTGTGTGTGTGTGTGTGTGTGTGTGTGTGTGTGTGTGTGTGTGTGTGTGTGTGCGTGCGTGTGTGCGTGCGTGCGTTCGTGCGTGCGTGCGTGCGTGCGTGCGTGCGTGCGTGCGTGTGTGTGTGTGTGTGTGTGTGTGTGTGTGTGTGTGTGTGTGTGTGTGTGTGTGTGTGTGTGTGTTTCTCTCTTTTATTTCAAAGAAGCCATATGAACTCAATGTTATTCACACCTCACAATGACCCCTCTGCTTCCCTGGCCATCGGATCGACCCTTTTCCTACCTTCTCCTCTTTCCCATCCTTCCTGTCCGTTACTTCCCTTTGTGTGCACTTCACCCTCACTCTGCAATCACGTAGCAACCTCTGCTGCAACCAGATCAGCGGCACCCTGCCCACTCTTCTCGGAGGGCTCTTAAGAATGGAAGCCATGTGAGTGATTCACCCTTATCGCCCATCTATATGACTTATCGCGCAGCATTCGCCCACCTGAACACCGTATGTGCACTGGTGTGCTGTGCACCGTCTGTTTCTGTAGCAACAAGATGACCACAACAAACAGCGTATGTTTTTTGAGAATTATCAGAATTCTCAAAAAACATATGACCATAACAAACAGTGCACACCGAGGCTTGAATATCACATCGGCCTGATACCATGTTGAAAGCACCACACTCATACTTCCCAGGACGGAACCTATAGTCCTTTCAGTATGTCTGAGTCATCCCAGCAACTGTACGAGCAACAGCTCGAATCAAGCAAATGCATCACAATCATTTTGATGTGATGCGAGGATAGAGGACTGTAAGTAACGAACTTTCGGATTGACCATTATTTCAGTTCTCGACAATCTTCTCTCTCCCTGCAGTGACCTGAGCAACAACCGTCTACATGGAACCGTCCCCACTCTTCTCACAGGCCTTGTCCGTCTCACCCTCCTGTATGTCCTCACTCTCCTCACCATCTCCCACTGGCCTCCTTGCATCCCCATCCATTAGCCAAGCCCTCAGTGCAGGCATCGCATCATCAGATGTCCCTTTTGCTCAACCTCCCCTTCTCTTTTCTCCGTATTCCCGTCCCTCTCCCATAATCATCTCTTGCCCCCCCCCCCCCCCCCCCCCCCCCCCCCTCATACGTTTTCCTCCCCCTTTTTTCCCATCCTCCCACCCCGGTCGCAGCAACCTGCGCAACAACCAGCTGACGGGCCCTGTACTGCAGCCCATCCCACAAACAATCACCTCCTACAATCTTGATCTCAACTATTTCTCCTCAGGCTTCTCCTCCCCACCTGACTGCTCCCAAGGCTCCATCTCCTTTCGCTTCAACTGCCTCCAAACCCCCAACCAAGGCTTCTCCTGCCCTACCCCAGCCACGCCCTCTGCTGCGGATGCAGCGGTGCAGCGACCGGAGGAGCTCTGTGCTGCCTTCTGCGGCGTGAGTGCTGCGGATCCCCCGTGCGACGGCCATGGCGTGTGCTACCTGGAGGGCCCCAGCAGAGTGCCCACGTGTGACTGCGAGTCTGGGTTTGTCAATGGGGAGTTTCCTGGAAGCTGCATCGCTGAAGGCAGTGAGTGGGGTTGGGGGGAGGTGGGGGATATGGATAGTGGATGAGGGGAATGAGGATGGTGTGATCTGTTAGGGCTGTGTGGATGGATGGTGTGCGTGTGTGAAAAGGAGAAAGAAATGCGATTGGATAATATAAAGCTCTCAAGGTAACGAGGAGATGGTTGGGTTCTTGACTTATTGGGTTGGAGAACCCTAAACCCTAATAAAGGATACATGCAGGATACAAGAGGAAGAGGGATAGTACTCTGACCTGACAATGCGTGCTGTGCTGTGGGGAGGCCACGACTACGGTTCTAGAGTCTTCCTGCTCAGGTTTGAACCCACAAGGCTGGCTTGTGGGTGTGCCTCAGAGATCCCAAGGCCCTGCGTTTGAGGTGCGTCAAAAGCCATCTCTTATCATGCTCTCCTGTTGCGACGCCTCCTCATGGAATTCTCTCCCCATCAGAGCATTTCCCTCTCCCCTGTTGCCTAACCGCGCCCCGTCCCTCATCTGCAGGCGAAGACCCATTAAGTGTGCAGCCGACAGCAGCACAGACAGCAGTGAAAGGGGGGGCTTCAGTGGCAAACGACGGGCGCATCACACTTACAGCCTCACATCTGAACACGTGGGGTGCAGCCTTCCTCCAACTGCCCATCCCACTCTTCTCCTTCTCCCTGAAAGCCGGTGCCTGCGGCCGCCCCTTGGCCTTCACCGTCTATTTCTCCTTCTCCATTCTCAAACCGGCCACCCCCAGCAGGGCAGCAATGACAGCAGCAGGAGACGCAGGCGACGGATTTGCGTTTGTGATTGCAGCCACTGACGCTGCTACAGGTGGTAGTAGTGGCAGCGGCGACGGCAGTGGTGGGGGCGGAAGCTTGGGGTATGCAGGTATGGATGAGCGCAGCATTGCAGTGGAGTTTGATACTGCTAAGAGCACCGACGCCAACGACCCAGACAGCAACCACGTGGGAGTGAGTGTGAGGGGCAACACCTCTTCCATCGCAACTGCCAAAGCGCCCTTCACTCTCAACGACGGAAAGCCAAAGCAAGCCTGGGTCGTCTTCGAACCCTCTCCTTCCTCCTCTGGCGGTGCTGCTAGTGGCAGCGCTACCTATGGCAGCAGCAACAGCAGCGGCGGCGGCACGGGGTGGCTGCGGGTGTTTCTGTCGGCCAGGGGGTCCCCTCGACCGAGCAAGGCAGTGCTGGCGATGCAGGTGTCGCTGTGCGAGTTCCTGCAGCCTACGGCAGCCGAGGCATCGTTCCTCATGGGCTTCACTGCTTCCTCCTCTGACTCCCCTCAGCAGCACTCCATCCTTGAGTGGAACATTACCACAGGTCCTTACCGCTGCTCAATGCTGCTCCCTGCTGCCACTCCCTCCGTTCTCCTCTACTCCCGCGTGCTTATCGCTTCGGACTGTTCTTCTTCCCGTACTGTTGTCTATTGTCGTGCGGTTCGGACTTGTTGTTGGTGAGTTATATTGCCTCTTTGGTGTTGGTTCATTCCTCCATCCTTGGTGGTGAGGTTGACTGACTGACAGTTCAACACAAACGCCTGTAGCTGCTGCCATCCCCTCCCTCCATTTGTATCGTCCCACTCAAACTCGCCCCTAAACCACACCCTACCGTTGTTCACATTTATATGTTACGTTTGCTTTGCTTGTTACATCTTCTTATAAATCTTGCTGTCTGTTTCCATCTCCCGTTGTCTGCTCAGGCCTTCCCGAATCAGTCACTCTTACAGGTATGACTGACTTGGCCTGAATTCGCACCTTTTTCTGTTTCTGCTTTTGTTGCTTGGGTCTCTTCTTGCCACACTTCGTTCTTTTGTCCCCAATTCTCCACCGTCCCCTCAATCCTCCCACAAGGCCGCCCACAATCTTGCACCCCCACCAGCCCTTCCCTGCCCCTCCCCCCCAAACGTCCCTCAAGTCCTCTCCTCAATATTCCCTCTAGGCCTCGCCCTGTTCCCTCCCAAGGTCCGCCTCCCAATCTTCATTCAACACATCCTCCCATCTGCCTCCTTATCCTCCCCATCGCACTCATTGCCATTTGACCCATTAACTTCCTTCCCACTCCCCATGCGTCTTCCACTCCCAATACCTAAACCCCAGCCTAACCTACCCTGCCCCACCCTACCCCAACCAACCGTACCCTCGCTTCTCCACCTCCCCCCAGGCCAGCAGTTTGGGTTCCAGTTCAGCGAGGCATCGCTGGCACCAGTGGGGGCGAACCTGTTTTTCCGCTACGCCAGTGCGGGCGTGCAAGCAGTGCTGCCAGCAGGCACAGCAGGAGCGGAAGGGGGAAGCGGCAAGGAGGAGGAGGTGTGGGTTGTGAGCCAGGCGTTCTCCTGGACCGACCAGGGGCTTTCTTGGCCTGTCCAGAACCAAGGCGCCTGCGGTGAGGGCATGCGGGTGGCGGGGGAAGGGAAGTGGAAGGGATGGGATGGGAGGGGAGGGGAGGGGATGAGAAGGGAGGGGATGGGCTGGGCTGGGCTGGAATGGGTTGGGATGGGATGGAATTTGATGGGATGGAATAGCATGAGTTACTTTCTTACTTGGTTGAAAGGGGGCGCGAAGGAATGAGAGGGCACGCACTGTTAAAATGCTTTCTGGTGACAAGAGGGTTGTGTGGCATTTGTGGCTTGCGTGGCCTCTCCCTTCCTGCCATGCCCATTATCCCTTCCTGCTTTCCCCTCTCCCCTCCCACTTCCCTCTTGCTGCATCCTCCCGATTTCCCATGCCAGCTAGCTGCGGGCATACACAGTCGTGGGCAGCATAAATATCAACTTTAGCTTCATATTTCATCATCCTCTCCCATCCTACCTCTTCCCCCCTTCCTCTCTTTCAGGTGACTGCTGGGCGTACGCGGTGGTGGGCAGCATAGAAATGGCATACGGCATTCTCTCCAACCTCACCGTTGTGCCACACCTCTCCGTCACCCAGCTGCGCAGCGCCCTCGGCGCCTCATGCTCGCAGGGCAACTCGCCCTCCCAGGCCTTCCAGTACCTCGTCACTCTCAACGCCAAGAGCAAAGTGGGGCTCACGGAGGATGGCGGGACCGGGGTGGTGGTGAGCGGGGGCGGGGCCACGAAGAGCAGCAGCCAGAGCCCGCTCTGTAGCATGCCCATCTTTTCTCTGCTCGCACAAGCGCTTGGGATCTCCTGCGGCAAAGGCCACACCCCTGGAACAGTGGGCAACTCTTGTTACATTTTCTTTTTCATTTTTTTTTTTTAAGCAGCCTAATGTGGCGACGCTTTCTTGGCCCCTTTCTGCTTACTTCTACATCATTTTTTTCCATTTGGAGGCATCAACATGCGCTTGGGTTCACGTGGTTGATTTTCCAGCTGAACCTTTTCGCCCACATTAGGTGGTTGTTCCACTGTCCGGTACTTCAAACTCATCGAGTACTTTTCCTTGATATGCGTTCTGACATGGTCTATGTGTGGCTTTTGTTGCATCGCACAACCCCCGTTTCATGTTGTCATGTCCTCTTTGTCACTAGACTTGCACTGGGGATGCCCGATTGATCATATGGAAAGGTTACAGGCTCGCTAGCCTGGCTTGGGGGGTTATGGGCGCACTGACCCGCTACTTAACGAGCCATTTTTTTCCAGTGGTCCAGTGACTGAGATTCTCACATGGTATCAGAGCAAATGTTTCGGGTTCGAGTCCCCATGTGCGCACATGTTGGCGCTTCTATTGTGCCGTGTCCTATGGCATTCTTGTGAGATGGGGGTGTCATAAGGTCTGTACTGGAGATGCCCGATTGATCATAAAGAAAGGTTACAGGCTTGCTAACTTGGGGGGTTATAAACGCACTGACCCCCTAGTTAACAAGCCCTTTTATCCCCGTGGTGTAATGGCTAGGATTCTGACAACCTTCCTACTCCACCTCCCACATGTCCCCTCTCATACCCTTGCTCCCCTATCCGTCCTCCCCTTCCCCTCCCACCTTTCCCTCCTTCATTACTTCTCCTCCCCTACCCTTCCTCCCCTACTTCTCTTCCCCTGCCCCCATGGTAGAGCAAGCCATCAAGGGGGGCGTTTAGAGTGAACGGGTTTGAGCGCACGTCATTCCACGGCTGGTTTGGGCTGCTGCTGGCCGTGCAGCGACAGCCCGTGGTGGTGCATGTGCAGGCCACCGTCCCCTCTTTCCTCGACTATGATGGGGTGAGTTCACCCACCCACCCCCCCACACACACATGCACATACACGCACGTGCACGCACACGCATACGCACGCGAACACGCACGCGAACGCGAACGCGCACGCGAACGCGAACGCGCATGCGCACTCACTCACTCACTCACTCACTCACGTACACACCCACACCAATTGTGCTTCTCCCACAACCTTAACCACGTCGTGCTACTTATGAAATGTTTCTAACAACTCATTCCATTACCATGCGCGCCCAAATCCCTTCCACCCGTCTCTCCCCCAGCTATCCAAGTACGCGGACCCCTCGTGCTTCACGTACAACCTGAACCACGTGGTGCTGCTGGTGGGCTATCGCCTCACCGGCTCAGACCCCACCTTCCCGCACATGGCGCCGCCCTTCTGGATCATCCGCAACTCATGGGGCCCGGAGTGGGGCGACGGCGGGCACATGCGGATGGACATCCAGGGGGGCGACGGCGTGTGTGGGATCAACACGCTGCCTGGGATCTACCCGGTGGTGCGCGCTGCCAAGGACCCCTGCAACGTCAACGGCACCACCAGTGGGGTGTTTGGGCCGCTCTTCAACCCCTGTGGCAACTTCACGTGCACGCCCACGCCTGATGGGGCCAGCAACCACTGCGACTGCAACGACCCGCGATTCGTCGAGGCGCTTCAACCGGACAACTCGCGCACCTGTGCTTACAGTGAGCGCTCTCCCCTGTGCTTACAGTGAGCGCCCTCTCCTGTGCTATCGTGTGCACTCCCTCCTGTGCTTACAGTGAGCACTTTCCCCTGTGCTTACAGTGAGTGCCCTCCCCTGTGCTTACAGTGAGTGCCCTCCCCTGTGCTTACAGTGAGTGCCCTCCCCTGTGCTTACAGTGAGCGCTCTTGCCTGTCCCAATGCAGTCACAACCGTGCTCACAACATTTCCATCCCGTCAATTGCTTTGCTGTAATGGTGCTCTCGGCACCACAACACAAACCTTCAATTGTTCACCATCCTTCTTTTAGCCACCTCATAGCATGCTCGTCTTGCCTGTGTCTTTCATCCTTTGTCGTGTTCCCCAGAGGACGCATGCGGGACAGCGGTGCACAATCCATGTGCAGTGGGCACGTGTGTGAATGATGGCAAGGGGTCGTACTCGTGTGTGTGCCCTCCTGGCTTCAGGCAGGGCACCACTGTTGATGGCACCTTCTCCTGCGGTCCAGGTAACCTTCTGGTGTGATGCATATAGCTTTCCTTTCTTACGCTCCAGATGCTTCTCGTCACGACATCCACCTTATTCCACCCTTTCTTGTGCGACGCTACCATCAAGGATACTCGAAAGACGGCCTTCTCGTCTTTACAGCGTCTCCATACTCAGGCCATGCCACACATGACACTCATTTTGCCATGCTTGCCTTACAGCTCGCCATCATTACGATCACTCCCCAATCACCTGCGCACCCGCATGCCCATTCCCACCCACCTGCTCCATTCTGCGTGCACCCACCTCTCCCATTTGCACCGTATATCCATCCATCTACACCACGCTGCACCGCACTGCACAGGCGACTCCAGCAGCAAGTACACGGTGGTGTTGGAGGGACTCACGTGTGCCGACATCCACCCCGTCTACGGCCTCACTCTCGCCCACCTGCAACAACAAAATCCCGTGAGCATCGTGGTGGGCCCATGCCTTCCTGCTGCTTGCTGACCCTGCTCTTCTGATCCGTGCATTCCTGTGAGGCTCCGCCCACATTCTGCAAGTCTGATCCCCACCCAACAACCACATCTTGCCTCTGTCCTCCCCTTTCCCATCGTCTCTGCCCTCCCTTCCCCACTCCCCTCCCTTTTTCCCCTTCAGGGTCTGAGCTGCAGTGCTCCTCTCGCTGTCGGCACGGTGGTGAACGTGGTCCAGCCAGCCGACCTCACGCCCTGCTCCGTCTACTACACCACGTCTGAGGTCCGCCCCCTCCATTCCCCCTCTCCCTCCTCTCCCTTCTACCCCTCCTCGCTCTCCTCTCCCTCCTCTCCCTACTCTCCCTCCTCTCCCTACTCTCCCTCCTCTCCCTACTCTCCCTCCTCTCCCTTCTCTCCCCTCTCTCCCTCCTCTCCCACCTCTCCCTCTTCTCCCTCCCTCCCACCCTCCCTCCCTCCCTCCCTCCCTCCCTCCCTCCCTCCCACCTCTCCCTCTTCGCCCTCCCTCCCACCCTCCCTCCCTCCCTCCCTCCCTCCCTCCCTCCCTCCCTCCCTCCCTCCCTCCCTCCCTCCCTCCCTCCCTCCCTCCCTCCCTCCCACCTCTCCCTCTTCTCCCTCCCTCCCACCCTCCCTCCCTCCCTCCCTCCCTCCCTCCCTCCCTCCCTCCCTCCCTCCCTCCCTCCCTCCCTCCCTCCCTCCCTCCCTCCCTCCCTCCCTCCCTCTCTCCCTCCCTCCCTCCCTCCCTCCCTCCCTCCATCCCTCTCTCCCTCCCTCTCTCCTTCCCCCCCCACCGTCCTCTCTACTGCTGCTGCTGCCCGCAGCTTGCAGCCGTCTGTGTCCTAACCTCTTCCAAGCAGCCCTGCTGTCCTCACGGCATTCTATCTCAAACCTCTCCTCCTCCATGCCCCTCTTTATTCTTCTGGACCGTCTTCTATCAGTCTCTCAGCCCATACCAACCCTCATACTAATGCTCTCCCCTTCCTTTTCCTGTTTCCTTTCCACCCTCCTTGCTCTCTTCTCGTCCTCTGCTCTCGCCGTTCTCATACCAGTCCATATCATTGGCAGCCCATATCTCTCTCCACCGGCTGCCCTGCCCAAGATCCCAAAGCCCAACCCGCCCCCCAGCGCTGCCCAGCAGCCCTTTTCCCAGGACTGCAATTCCACGTCTCCTTTCATCCTCCTCTCCCATCATCCACTCTCCTCCCCCATTTCCCCCCGCCTCTCTCCCACCCCTCCTCGCTCCCATCCCCCCAGGGCGACACATGCGAGTCACTAGCTAAATACTTCTCCCTCATCGGCAACTGCTATGAGCCCTGCGCAGAGGCCTTCCAGGCGCTCAACCCCGGGCTGGACTGCTCCGGCAGCGGGGAGCTGGTGGGCAGCCAGGCGGTATGTGTGGAGCGGCGGGCGGAGAGTGCAGCGGCACTGCTCATCCCGGTGTGCTCGCAGTTCTATCTGGTGCAGGCCGGGGAGACGTGCGACCAGATCCGCTCCGTGCCCTCCCCGCCGCTCTCCCCTCTCGAGTTCTTCCGCCTCAACCCCGGCATCAAGTGCAGCCGCCTCGTGCCCAAGACTGACGTCGGCAGCCTCACAGGCTTCGAGGTCTCCCTCTGCTCTCCCACTGCTCTCCCTCTGCTCTCTTCTTTGTCCACATTACCCTCTCCCCTGCTTCATTCTATCCTCCGCTGCATTGTCTCCTCCCTTTCTTCACCCTCTCCCCAGTCGTCCGTGCCCTCTCCTTTTGCCACTTGCTTTCATGAATCCTGTTGATTGTTCCTATGGTTGCCACCTGAAGCATGCCGGTTCCATGCATTTTCATGGCAATCATTGGTTGCCTCCAATTCACACCTGCAGATCACATTGCAAAACACACCTGCAGTCCGCACCTGCAGTTCACACCTGACTCGCATCCTTCTTCCCTCTTCCCTCCACCCTCTTCCCCCCTCCCTCCACCCTCTGTCCCTCCTCCCCACGCACACTCAACTGCACGGCAAGTGCAGGCGTGCATAGGCAGCTCGTTCAGCTTCACGCAAGGAGTGTGCCCCAAGACTCGTGCGTACGTGGTTGGGACTGGCGACCGCTGCACTGGCCTGCAGGTCAAGTACTTCCGTGGAATCAAAGGGTGCTACAGGAAGACCAACGGCTACGATTGCATCGATAAGCTTGTCAAATCCACCAGAGTGTGCATTCCGGACCAAGTGAAGATCAAGGCCGGGAAGTGCGAACCCTGACATGGACATACTTCCCTTCATTTATTTACTTCTCCATACGAGAGAGTTATATACCTTGTATATAAAAACGATACCTTTTATATGGATCATTTTTGGGAATTCTCGTTGTGTTTGTGATACCTACTAGCTGCTTATGCAGTGCACCCAACTTGAATGCATGGGCGGCACGCCTACTCCTGCTGGCTTTATCAGCCTAATCTGAGTCAGTCTACACAACACGCTGCTCAGCTCACCACCTTGGTGCTCCTACCTGATCAGACGATCAACCGTGTTGAGTGCTCTCAATGCAGTGCGTATGGGAATGTGTGCCTCGGTGGTAACGATGACAATGAGAATGGCAGTGAGAATGACAATGAGAATGACAATGAGAATGACAATGAGAATGGCAATGAGAATGAGAATGAGAATGAGAATGAGAATGAGAATGAGAATGAGAATGAGAATGAGAATGCGAATGCGAATAAGAATGAGAATGGCAATGAGTGGCAATGAGAATGACAATGAGAATGGCAGTGAGAATGACAATGAGAATGGCAATGAGAATGAGAATGAGAATGACAATGAGAATGGCAATGAGAATGAGAATGAGAATGAGAATGACAATGAGAATGGCAATGAGAATGAGAATGAGAATGAGAATGGCAATGAGAACGGCAATGAGAATGGCAATGAGAATGGCAATGAGAATGGCAATGAGAACGACAATTAGAATGGCAATGAGAATGGCAATGAGAATGGCAATGAGAATGGCAATGAGAATGGCAATGAGAATGACAATGAGAATGGCAATGAGAATGGCAATGAGAATGGCAATGAGTGGCAATGAGAATGACAATGAACTCAGCCTCCTTCCCCAATTTCCCCCCTTTCCTCCTCCCTCCCCCACTTTCTCTCCCAGGTACCACCTGTCGCCGCTGTCAAGAGGATCAGCCAAGGTGGGGTGGGTGTCGGTGCTGGGGCTGTCCATGGCTGCTGGCTTGCACACCACTGCGCTTGTTTCCGAGGGCATGCAGGTGAGACGATGTGTGAGGTGAGGTGAGAAGTGCAGGTGAGATGAGGCATGCAGGTGAGATGAAGCGTGCAGGTGAGATAAGAGGGGCTCAAGTGTGAGTGAACATGCCTGTTACTCCTGAGGAAGTAACATGCTAGAGTTTGCATGCATGTTTGTGTGCACGACAGTCTGTTGCCTTGGCAAACTCACTGGCTCATGTGCCGTATTCTCCCGGACATAACGCCCTAGGGTATAGCTAAAAATACAGGGAAAAAATGGGGGGGGTCTCCTCATAGGAAAAAAATACATAATACCGGGTCTTTACATATGGCATATCTTAGTGTTAGTGTTTTTTTAATTAGTCAATGTGGGTGTTTTGCTGGTCGTTTTAGCATCACTGCCTGAGGCGCGAATGTGAGTTTCGGCCTCGAACTTCATCGCCCTCACGAAAATGCCATGTGGCACCTCTCTTGCCACCTGCAACGGAAGATTCACCTGCACGTGGCAACAGAGAAATAGTGGGAGGGGGCAAATCTCGGCAGATTGCCTTTGAATGTACCGCGAAATTTCATTGAGGGAGAAATTCACATGACATTCTTCCGTATTGCAGCTACTCGTTAACGACTATAATAATGAATCCGTAAGAAAAGGGGGGGTGTTATAGAAAATCAGCCAAAAAGGGGGGTATAGTAGAAACGAGGTCTATCATAACACCCACCCCGCACAAGCTACCCAGGGGTGTACAATTATGGGGGGGTGTTTTTTCCGGGAGTATACGGTATGTATACACTCACACGCTTGCATGCTCTCACGGACATGCACATGCACATGCACTGCACACACACACATTCACACACATATGTGCAAACACATGCACACGCACACACACACATTCACACACATATGTGCAAACACATGCACACGCACACACACATATTCACTCACTCACACTCACACACATGCACACACACACACACACTCACACATGCACACACATTCACACACACGCGCACGAACCCACACGCACACACCCTCACAGAAAGAAGGACGTTCTCAGCGCTGCAATTGCTGAGTGAGCGTCCCGCCATGCCACCAACTCAAAGCACGCATCCTCTCTTTCCCCCTTCCCTCCTCCCCCATCCATCCCTCCCTTCTATCCTGTCCATTTTTCTCCTCAGGTGGACAGGGAGGCCATGCTAGTGCCTGCCTCAGCTGCATTCAACGCCACCAATGCTCCCTGACTCTTCTCCTCCGTGCAACAGCCTCCCTGGGACCTCCCCAATGTGCACCATGCCCTTCCCACCACTCATCATGTGCTTGCTGTTCTCAACCTTTGAGACGCCTCAAAAGCAGCAGCATTCAACGCCACCATTGCCCCCTTGCTCTTCTCCTCCTGCAACAGCCACCCTGGGACCTTCCCTCCCCACCGTGCACCATGAGCTTACCACCCACCACTCACCACGGTCATGCTGCCCCCTGTTGGGCTGAGAAAAGCCCTTCGGATCTTTGCAGGACTAAACTCTGAGTAGGAACAATGTAATAGCGGAAGCGTTTAATGATGAGTCTGTGAACCACCTTGCACTGGTATGTGAGGGCAAAGTAGATTGATTAAAACAAGAAGATAGAAGGTTTTATAAGAGTACAAGGAATATGAAGAGACACAGTTAATAACTGTTTTACTGTTGCGGTTTGATACAGTGACGACTCGGGCAACTGCTCAATAACGAGTCAGCTGTTTGTCCTTGCTGTCGCGCTGTACTTGTCAGGTCAAAGGTCGCTGACCTTTGACTTTCGCATAACCTCCAGTGGTTTCTTCATCTCTCAACCTCCAACTGTTGACTCGCCGATGCTTCACTGTATTTCGCTTCGTTTACGACTTAGTGCTTCGACACGACAGCGGCGCTTAAATTACTTGTTTCCAACACCCCCAACCTGTAGCAACATGAGGGTTACTTCTGTTGGAAACAATCGGTCTTAAACGCCTCTGTCGTGTCGAAATACTAAGACACAAAAGAAACGAAGTATAACGAATCACCGGCGAGTCAACCCTCGGAGGTTGAAAGTAACTGTTGGAGGTTACGCGAAAGTCAAAGGTCAGCGACCTTTGACCTGACAAAGTACAGCGCGACAGCAAGGACAAACAACTGACTCGGTATTGAGCAGTTGCCCGAGTCATCACTGTATCGAACCGCAACAGCAAAACGGTTATTAACTGTATCTCTTCGTATTCCTTGTACTCTTATAAAAGCTTGTATATCTTTGTTTTAATCAACTTACTTTGCCCTCACATACTAGCGCAAGGTGGTTCACAACTCTTTAATTAACGCTTCCGCTATTACATCAACTCTACCCAGAGTTCATCCCTGCAAAGATCCTAAGGGGCTTTTTCAGCCCAACATGGTATGAGAGCAATCAGGGGGAATTCAACTTCTATACCGACAACATCAACAAGCATGGCTACACAAAAGGAAAGGAGGTTGTCGCAGATTCGCCGTCCATCTTACCGGACGGGCTCCCGGCGTTTGCATTCGGCGCGCCCCCCCTCTCCCCTCCGAACCAACATCGCACAAACGGCGAGCCCGTTTGTGCATCTTCGACGGACCCTCATTTACGCACTCGACGGGCACTCTCACACTCTGCGCCCCGCACTCCCACACTCTGCGCCCCGCACTCTCACACTCTGCGCCCCGCACTCTCACACTCTGCGACGGGCGTCATAAGTCGATCTTTAGTCGACTCAAAATCGCGCCCGGATTCTCACACTCTGCGACGGGCGCCATAAGTCGATTTTTAGTCAACTCAAAATCGCGTCCGGACTCTCACACTTGGCGACGGGCTCGCATTCACGAACTCGAAGGGGGTGAAATCACGCACTTTTCGCGCCCGGGTTCTGACACTCGACGCACCCGCTTTCTTGACCTTCATCTTCTGCATATTCCTCCCTGCATACCCACAGTTCCCCCCAGCAATTTCCACAGCAGCACCCCTCCTTTCCCCCAGTTACCACTCTTCTTGCCCGCTGTTTACCCACGGATTGCCAGCAGTAGCCCCTCTCCTTTCCCCCACTTCGTCCCCTCCTTTCCCCCCCTGATTCCCCTCCTTTCCCCCCCTGCATCCCCTCCTCTCCCCCCCCCCGCTTCCCCTCCCTTCCCCTCTTGCTTCCCCTCCTTTCCGCTATGCTTCCCCTCGGTTTCCCCCCTCCTTCCCTTTTCCCCTCTCTTTCCCCTGCTTCCCCCCCCTGCATTCCCTCCTTTCCCCCCCTGCTTCCCCTTGTTTTCCTCCACTGCCTTTGAAAGGCTCCATTTTGCCTTGGCTGCTGACCTGGTTGCCTCCCCTTTGCTTGCTAACCTTTTGAAGTCCCCCCTCCCCCCCCCCCCTCTCCAACCTAACCCCAGGCTGCCGTCCACATAAGCCCCCTGGCTGCTGCCAAATTGGCACAGAAATCAACAGCTTTTGCATGAAATCAACGCTCTAGACATGGACCAGAGAAGTAGTCTTTATAGCAGCCAGAGGGCCAAGGGTTTTATGTTCTGACCATTTGCGTGAATCTCCACCAGCGAATACTGACCAAACGAGTGAAGGGGCACAATATCACCGATAGTTCACCTTTTGTTTTTTTATGTCATATACGGTACACTATAAAGTGCATACAAACATTGACAGTCGTAACTGTGGCTGATGGGCCTAGACAGCACTATGCTATCGTACCCATCCTGATCCTCTAAGAGGGACGGTGGATTGCGTGTTGGCCCAGATGGAAGTGAAGCCATGCACCCACGCGAGCGACTTAGCTGTGCTGTCACAGTTTCTCCCCATCAACCTAAATTCGTCCCGGTCCAGCGGCCCCAAGATTGAGCGCTGACCAAGACCCTCTGCGCCCCCCGTCCGATTCTCCCTCTTCTTTGTCCTCAAGTAGACCCTTGTGTGCGCATAGAAGGCCGTTGCTATCCTCCGTAGAACCCTTCTGGATCAAAATTGACCTCGGTCAAAAGCCGCGTCACACCTGTCCACCCATAGCTTGTGCAGGGTAATGGCAGTGATAGTGACCTCTGGGAAGCCCGACTTTGTGCCCTCTTTTTGGAACAACAAATTCCCCAACGACTTTATTTCCCTGCCAGGGTTGAGCATCCTCAGTGCCTTCATGAGCCCTTGTACCACCGGTTGGATGCAGGGGCAACTGAACAAACAATGGTCCGCCGTTTCCTCTCCGCCACAGTGCGGACATAGCACCCCTTCCAGAAAATGCAGCCGCACCCCCATCTGGAGATTGCGGCAGTGTAACCGAAGCAGGACATCACGCGCTCGGTTCGGCAGAGCTGGTGAATCCCGGACCTTGATGACGCTGGCCCAGTCGATTCTCCCACCCCATTCCTCTTCCCACTTTGCATGTTGGCGCGCCTCCCCCTTTTGCACCTCAAACAGTTCCCGCAACAGCCTGAAGGGGGGAATCTGGTCCTCCGCGCACAGCTCCGAAACCCTCAGTCTTACTTCGGGCAGCCCAGCAACACCAATCACTCGGCCTTTCCGAACAACCAGCGGCTGCACCCCGCGCGGGTTTAGCGTGGCAACCCTCCCAGCCCTTCCTTCCAGGGGCAGCCCCGCGTAGTCGCATGTTCGGCAGACTAGCTCTCCGTGCTCCACTTCGTCAACCTTCCAGGCCTCAATGGCTCCCACTACCTTCACGTGCTCCGACACCGCTAGCAGCTCCTCCCCGGTAAGCGGCGCCAGCAGTTTCTCCTTCCATGAGTCTGGAACACAGCTGAAAATTTTAAGCGCCTTCTGTGCCTTCTTCTTGGTGCCCATCTCCCTCGTTAGAACCTCCAGAGTTTTTACGGACCTCGTTCCGTCCCCTGCTGTGGCGATAAAGTCCCTCATCTTGTACAGCTCCAGACCTTGCGCCGCCTTCTGCTTCCCCAACGGCTGGCCCCGTCGCCTACCCCGGCGACCCCGACGCCGACCTTCTCGACTCGGCCCCGCCTCTGCTGGCCCCGTCGCCTGCCCCTGCGGCCCCGGCTCCACCTCTGTCGGCCCCGGCGCCGCCCTTCCCGGCCCCGGCCCCGCCCTTCCCGGCCCCGGCGCCGCCTCTGCTGGCCCGGTCGCCTACCCTGTGGCCCCGGCGCCGCCTCTGCTGGCCCCGTCGCCGCTCCACCCGGCCCCGCCGCCGTCCCCAAGCGGCCCCGCCGTCACCACCGAGCCGCCGGCGCCGCCGAGCTAGTGCCGAGCCACCCGAGCCGCCCGAACCGCCCGAGCCGCAGCGCCACCTCAGCCGCCCGAGCCGCCGGGTCGCCGAGCCGCTGAGCTGCAGTTGCTGCCGAGCAGCTGTACCGCCGAGCCGCCGAGCTGCCGAGCCGCCCGAGTCGCCCGAGCCGCCGAGCCGCCCGAGTCGCCCGAGCCGCCGAGCCGCAGTTGCTGCAGTGCCGCCGTGCCGCCGAGTCGCCGAGTCGCCGAGTCGTCGAGCCTGCTCTTCCCACCACTGGTGAGCCCCTGCCTTACTAGCGCGCTGCCTGCCGCTTGCTTGGCTGCCTGCCTTACTGCTGCTACTCCTGCTCCTGCTTCTACTGGCGGAGCCAGATGCAGCCCCAGCGACATCAGCGTGAGTCCCTCACGCCCCAGCAGCTGCGTGAGTGGTACGCTGGTTGGGATTGTAGGGGTGGCGCCGCTACTACTGCTACTACTACTGGCGGCGGCCAAATGCAGCTCCAGCGACGCCCACGCGCGTCTCTCACGCCCCAGCAGCTTCGTGAGTGGTACGCTCAGAGTAGAGGGTCTCTCAGTTTTGTTCGCTGCTCTTACGTGATTCGCACTGGTGCTCGGACTGGTCAGCCTTGTGGGACGCCTAGTAACACACCGTCCCACTGCTTCGCCCGTCTGAGCGATGCCTGGCGTACCGAGTTTGGCGACGAGGCTGAGCTCCCCGACTGGGTGGAGTTGCTTAGGCAGAGGGTAGATATATTTGCTCTTGACTATGATGCTATTCTCACTGCCATGTATGCATTGCCTACTAGTGCTGACCGTGCCGGTCACCTGTGCGTACCGCCTGACCCGGGTATAGAGCCTGCTGCTCTAGCTGCTGGTGCGGCTGCTGCTCTGGGTGCTAGTGTGTCTCCTGCTCCAGGTACAGGTGCAGCTGCTGCTCTAGGTGCTAGTGAGTCTGCTTCCTCAGGTGTGGGTGAATCTGCTCTCTCAGGTACCGCGTCGGCTCCGGCCTCTCACACCTTCACCCTTGACTCGGGGGCTTCCC